GCGTGCTGCGGCTGCACGTCGTCTCTGATGTGCTCCTTTGACGAGTACAGCGAAAGCAAGAACGAGGCTCTTGGAGGAATGGAGGTCGAGGCACATGAAGAGGAGTCATATCAGGAAGAAGGGGGGAGAGAAACATGACGAGGACGAGGCCTGTGAAGGGGAGGGTGGGGAAGGCTAGGAGGGAACGGTGGTGGAGGAGGAGGAGGAGGAAGATAATGCGAAGGCGGCGCTTCAGCAGCGAAGGGAGCCAGCCTTGTCCCAAACCGCTGGATGGCAAGGACAGTCTTCCTTGGCTGCTGCGCTGTGGCCCCTTTCCTCGCTCACCTTTCTTTTGTGCGGACGCGCCCCTCCTCGTTCCCTTTCCTTCTGTTCGTCGTCGTCGTCGTCCTCCTCCTCCTCCTCCTCCTCACTCCTCCTCCTCCTCCTTCTCCGACGCCGCAGAGGGATCCTCACAAGGCCGCAGGGCCTCTGAGAAGCCCCGCCGCCTCTGAGAAGGCCAGCTCCCTCCAGCTTCCTCCCCCGCCGCGCCGCCGATCAGGAGGAGGAGGAGGAGGAGGAGGAGGAGGAGGAGGAGGAGGAGGAGGAGGAGGAGATTGTGGAGTCCCTGTGGTTCCAAAACGCGCGCGCGAGGCTTTCGCGCTGAGTTCGCGACTGTTTCTGTGCAAACTCTGCTTTGTGTCGTCGTCCTCCTCCTCCTCCTCCGCCTTCTCCTCCTTCTCCTCCTCCTCCTCCTCCTCCTCACCTCTCCCCCCCTCCTCTTACCTCTCTGTTTTTTTTTTTTTTTTTTTTTTTTTTTTTTTTTTTTTTCTCCTGGCGTCCCGCCCCAGTATTTTTTTTTTTTTTTTTTTTTTTTCGGGGGGGGGGGGGGGGGGCGCCAGGAGAAACCCAAAAGGAATGCGACGTGGCCACATCTGCCCTCCCCCCTTGAAGGATTCCTATTGAACGCCCCCATAAGAAGATTTCACAGTGAAATCCTCGACAGAAGGATTCCTATCGAAACCCTCCACTAAATGATTCCTACTGAAATCCTCCACATGTGGATTCCTACTGAAACCCTCCACTGAATGATTCCTACTGAAATCCTCGAATGGCAATGGCAATGGCAATGGCAATGGCAATCGTAATGGTAATGGTAATGACAGTGTTAATGATAATGGTACTGGTAATGGTTACGGTAATGATAGTGGTAACGGTGTAGCGAGGCAATGGCAATGGCAATGGCAACGGTAATGGTAATGGCAATGGCAATGCCAATGGCAATGGGAATGGCAATGACAATGGCAATGGCAATGGCAATGGCCATGGCAATGGTAATGGTAAGGGTAAAGGTAACGGTAGAGGTAAAGGTAATGGTAATGGGAATCGGAGTGGGAATGGGAATTGGAACGGGAATGGAAATGATAGTGGTAGTGGTAATGGTAATGGCATTGGTAATGGTATTGGTAATGGTAATGGTAATGGTAATGGTAATGGTAATGGTATTGGGAATGGGAATGGGAATGATAATGGGAATTCTAATGGTAGTGGCAGCGGTAATGGTAATGGTAATGGTAACGGTACTGGTAATGGTAATGGGAATGGGAATGGGAATGGAAATGGTATTGGCAGTGGTAGTGGCGAATGGCAATGGCAATGGCAATGGCAATGGTAGCGGTAATGGTAATGGTAATGGTAATGACAGAGGTAATGATAATGGTACTGGTAATGGTAATGGTAACGGTAATGGTAACGGGGTAGCGATTGGCAATGGCAATGACAATGACAATGGCAACGGTAACGGTAATGGCAATGGCAATGGGATTGGCAATGGCAATGGCAATGACAATGATAATGGCCATGGCAATGGCGACGGCAATGGTAAGTGTAATGGTAATGGCAATGGTAGTGGGAATGGGAACGGGAATGGGAATGTGAATGGGAACGGGAACGGGAATGGACAGGGTAGTGGTAGTGGTAACGGAAATGGGAATGATAAGGGTAAGGGTAAAGGTAGAGGTAAAGGTAGAGGTAATGGTAATGGTAATGGTACTGGTAATGGAAATGATAATGGTAATGGTAATGGTCATGGGAATGGGAATGGCAATGGAAATGGTACTGGCAATGGTAATGGTAGTGGCTAATGGCAATGGCAATGGCAATGCGAATGGTAATGGTAATGACAGAGGTAATGGTAATGGTACTGGTAATGGTAACGGTAATGATAGTGGTAACGGGGTAGCGACTGGCAATATCAATGACAATGACAATTGCAACGGTAATGGTAATGTCAATGGCAATGGCAATGGCAATTGCAATGGCAATGGCAATGGCAATGGTGGCCATGGCAATGGCAATGGCAATGGTAATGGTAATGTGAATGGGACCGGGAATGGGAATGTGAATGGGAATGGGAATGTGAATGGGAACGGGAATGGGAATGGCAGTGGTAGTGGTAACGGAAATGGGAATGGTAAGGGTAAGGGTAAAGGTAAAGGTAGAGGTAAAGGTACTGGTAATGGTAATGGCAATGGCAATGGCAGTTGTAATGGTAATGGTAATGTTAATGGTATTGGGAATGGGAATGTGAATCGGAATGGTAATGGTACTGGCAATGGTAATTGTAGTGGCGAATGGCAATGGCAATGGCAATGGTAATGGTAATGGTAGGTGCGAATGGCAATGGCCATGGTAGTGGCGAATGGCAATGGCAATAGCAATGGTAATGGTAATGGCAATGACAATGGGAATGGTCATGGTAATGGTACTGGGAATGGTAATGGTGACGGTAACGGTAATGGCAATGGTTATGGCAATGGTAACGGGATAGCGACTGGCAATGGCAATGGCAACGGCGATGGCAATGGTAATGGTAATGGTAATGGCAATGGCAATGGCAATGGCAATGGCAATGGGAATGGCAACGGCAATGACAATGGCAATAGCAATGGCCATGGCAATGGTAATGGTAATGGTCATGGTCATGGTCATGGTAATGGTAATGGTAAGTGTAATGGTAATGGTAATGGTAATGGTAATGGTAATGGTAATGGTAATGGTAATGGTAATGGGGAAGGGAATGGGAATGGGAATGGGAATCGTAGTGGTAACTGGAACGGGAACGGGAATGGAAATGGTAGTGGTAGTGGTAATGATAATGGCAATGGTAATGGTAATAGTAATGGAAATGGTACTGGTAATAGTAACGGTAATGGCAATGGTGATGGGAATGGGAATTGTAATGGTGATGGCAGCGGTAATGGTAATGGTAATGGTAATGGTAATGGCAATGGTGTTGGTAATGCTAATGGTAATGGCAATGGTAATGGTAGTGGCTAATGGTAATGGGAATGGTAACGGTAATGGTAATAGTAACGGGTTGGCGACTGGCAATGGCAATACAATGGCAGTGGCAACGGCACTGGTAATGGCAATGGCAATGGCAATGACAATGGCAATTGTAATGGCCATGGTAATGGTAATGGTAATGGTAATGGTAATGGCAAAGGTAAAGGTAAAGGTAAAGGTAAAGAGAAAGGTAGATGTAATGGTAATAGTAATGTGAATGGGAATGGGAATGGGGATGGGAATGGTAATGGTAATGGTAATGGTATTGGGAATGGGAATGGGAATGGGAGTGGGAGAGATTGAGAGAGAGAGAGAGAGAGAGAGAGAGAAAGCGAGAGAGGAATTGTCAGAATAATGCTGAGGAGCAACGTGAAAGATCGTAAACAATCGTCTGAAACCCACAGGGACTCCACAATCCCCCGGGCCTCGAGGAGGAGGGGGAGAAGGAGGAGGAGGAGGAGGAGGAGGAGGAGGAGGAGGAGGAGGAGGAGGATGCGGAGGAGGAGGAGGAGGAGGAGGAGGAGGGAGGAGGAGGAGGAGGAGGAGGAGGAGGAGGAGGGAGGGAGGAGGAGAGGAGGAGGGGAGGAGGAGGAGCGGAGGAGGAGGAGGAGGGGAGGAGGGAGGGAGGAAGAGGCGGGAGGCGAGGGAGGGAGGGAGGAGGAGGGAGGGAGGGCGGGAGGGAGGGAGGGAGGAGGAGGCCCGAAGAAAGGCCTCATCGGAGGGCGGAGGCCATCCGAGGCCTGCACGGGGGTCCGGGGGGAGGGCCCGCCAGCGCGCCTTCCCACCATGCGCCGCCGCGCCGAAGCGCCGTGCAGGTCACGATGCGTGTGCATTTTTTCGGGGTCGGAGGCGGAGGGGGAGGAGAGGAGGAGGAGGAGGAGGAGGAGGGCGAGGAGGAGGAGGAGGAGGTAGGAGGAGGAGGGGGGGAGGAGGGGAGGAGGAGGGGGAGGAGGGGGAGGAGGAGGAGGAGGAGGGGGAGGAGGGGGAGGAGGAGGAGGAGGATGCAACTGTCATGTCCTTGGTATCGCTCGTACGTGTGCATTTTTGTTCGGGGGTGGGCAGGACCCCCAACAGTGACACGTCGATGAGTGAATCGTCCGTTGTCGGTTCTCGAGAGGGCGGCGTGGCCGTTCTTTTCCAGGCCTGCGCCCGCCAGGTTTGGGCCTCAGGTCGTTTTCACTGAACCACGTTTTGCTAAAGGGGGGTCTGTCCATCCCCGATTTTTCTCGGCGAGAACCATCGAGGACCATCCTGGACCATCGGGCAACAAAAACACACGCACGAGACCGACAAATGCACGGGAAGTGGACGTCCGAGCGAGGGCAGGTGTCGGTGCGATGGCCAAGGCTCCGCGGCGGGGATTTGTGCGTAACCACCGTCGGGGGGCTCGACCTGCGCGGACCCCCGCAGGCGGTGGATATGGATACGGATGGATTTCGACCCCCCTGGGGGCAAGCTATGTCCACTGCCCGCTTGGGGTCACCAGGACGCCGGCTTCCGGTCGGTGGGCATGGATAGATCCCCCCCTCGCAAAGGGGGGAGGAAGCGAGGCACGGGAGCCGGGCCTGGCCCAGGCCGGAGAGAACCCGTGGAACAAGAAGATCGCGCCGTGCGCCTGTTGTTCGTGGTGCTGCGGGTGGGGCTATGCTGTGATGGTCTTGTTCGTCGGCGGGATCATGGTTGTGCTCAGCGTGGTGATGAGCAGCGTGTGCTTGCCCCTTGACGAGCTCAGTGGGCAACTGCTCGATGACATCATGCCGGCGCTGGACCTCACGACGACCGGGGATGACCTGGACATGATGAGGGACATGATCGATGGCTGCTTCTCTCAGCTGAACGACGAGGACGCGATTCTCATGGAGATTCTTTTCACGCGTGAGAATGGCACCAAAGTGAACATGAGCGCAAAGATCAAGGGCCAGTCCACTGACTTGATGAAGGCGAAGTTCGCGACCCTGGATGAAAAACTTGCCACGGGAGCAAAGATGATGGAAGACCAGAACTTGCTGGATCTGCTAAGCCTCATCGAAGACAACCCAGCAGACGCTCTCATAATAGGCCCTGCAGACTTGAGCGTATCGGACGTGCAAAACGCACTACCGTCCGCCTACGTGAACCTGGTCGGCGATCCTCGAACGCCAGACAGTACTTCTGTCAAGGTCGGAGCATTCTCGTCGCTAGCATGCGATAACCATACTTTTGCAGGCACCGTGTTCTATGGACTTGAGACGTTGAAGACCAACATGATGTTCGGTGATTCAGCCGCCGTTGTGACAGCCACAAGCCCCGCTACGTCCTGTACTGGGCAAGTTGACTGTAGCTCAGTGAGCTGGCCAAGTGAGTGCGGCAGTGCCTTAAGCGCTGAACGGATTGCGTGCGAGGCAGCATGCGCCGCCGCTAACGACTTGATGACGCTGAAAGCAAGCATCGTGGATGCCAACACGTACCGTTGCGACATCTTCCAGGACGCCCTTGGACACTCCGTTCTGCGAGCGACATTTCCCCATCTCCTCCGATCCAGGTCTCCGGCGACACGATTTTGTCGTGTCGCCGGCCCATTGACCTCTCGACCCTTCCCCAGGACCAGCATTTCATCCCGAGTCGGCTTAGATTGTTCTGGGGTCTGGCGACGGCATCCCTGACGTCGAACCTGCTGAAACACCCCTGGAGCGATGTCTTCGAGCCGTTTCCTCTCCTCCTCCTCCTCCTCCTCCTCCTCCTCCTCAGGACGCTGACGGGAACCCCTGCGATGTGCTCAACATGGCCGGCGATGCCACCAATGGTTACACCAATGATTGCCTGTTAGGCGGGGCGTCCTCGGTCACGAGGTTGCAAGGGGCCCTCGACGCGACCGCCAGCCCGATCCCCCCCCCTGCCGGGCAGCGAGCGCCGTGCACTTGCACCGACCCTGGCCGGCCCCGTCTTGGGCCGCAGATCGGCGCACGGCGGGTGCGTGTCGGGTCGACCTGTCGGCGATCCCCGCGCGGGCATGTGAAGGCGAGGAGCAGCGAGGAGGAGCAGGGAGGAGCGAGGAAGAGAAGGAGGAATAGGAGGAGGAGGAGGAGGAGGAGGACGAGGAGGAGGAGGAGGAGGAGGAGGAGGAGGAGGAAGGAAGGAGGAGGGGAGGAAGGAAGGAGGAGAGAGGAGGAGGAGGAGTGGGCGGCAAGCCCAAGTCCGTGCCAGGGCCCCCCGCCGGGCCAGGCAACCGGGCCACGACCCGCGCGGGGTCTGCACAAGAGACGGAGCGTGGTCAGTGCGGAAAGCCAATGGGGAAGAGTGGGGCGCGCCCTGGGAAGAGGAAGGACGACAGAGGGATAGGGCGGGGATAGTATAATAAAAAGATGCAGTCATCCTACTACTCCTCCTAATAATAACAGAATAATAATCCTCACCCACCTACCTCCCCCTGCAAATCCACTAAAATACTACCTACTCATACTACTCCTCCTCCTCCTCCTCCTACTCCACCTCCCACACTCCCCTCCACCCTCCCCCTACTCATCCACAATCCTCATCAATCCTTCCCCTCTCCCTCTCCCGCCCCCTCCTCCTCCCCTCATCACCAATCCCTAATCCTCCTCATCCTCCTCTCCTCTGCCCTACTCCTCACTCCTCCTCCTCATCCTACTCCTCCTCACATCCTCCTCCTCCCCCTCCCCCTCACCCCTCCCTCCTCCTCCTTCCTCTCACTCACTCCTCCTCCTCCTCCCTACTCCTCCCCTCCTCCTCCTCCTCCTCCTCTCCTCTCTCTCCTCCTCATCTGGACATGCTCGCCGCTCGTGGATTCACGGTTGAACGCCGCGACAGTGGGCCACAGAGCGGCCGGGGATGTCGACCGACTTTTTTTGTCAGAGAGTTGCGAATCTTTCAAGTGTGGAGCAAAGTCCGCAGGGTTTCTTTTCTCTTCTTTTGTTTAATATGGTGAATTTTTTGACACAAGAGCGTCGTCACGACACGAACATGCCGGGGTGCGCCCTTGGCTTGTTTTATTCTTCCCCGTTGTCTTGGCCAAGCCAAGCGGGCGTAATTGCACCGACTCCCCTCGCCTTCGTAAATGTTCACCTTCGTTGCGATTTTGTCGCTTCGGCTCCCAAGCCTGAACGTGGCTCAGTGTCGTTGTTCTGAAGCTTTTCTGGAGCTCCAGCTGCCAGGATGGGCCTCGATACTCGAGTGGGCGAAGAAGACAAGAGGCAAGGCAAAACTTACAGCCCCTACCCCTCGTGGGTGGCGGGGCAGGATGGAGAGGGTGAGGGGGTGATCATCATAGCTGGCCGTGACGGGAGCCTCCCTCCCGAAAGGTTGGCCGTGACCTGCACGCTGGCAGAATACACGACGTACGTCCGGCAGTGGGAGCAACGCCTGGCAAATGTGTTCACGCGCGTCGACGACGTGCTCGACGCCAAGCAGGGGCAGATCTCGGTCAACCTGAAAGACCTTGTGGACGAGTACATCACTACACCGGTAGAGAGCATCGTCGAGGGGAGCAGCTGCAAGTTCCTGAAGACCGCCTACGGGGACCTGATCACGGGCCTGTGCTTCAAGGGCGCCATGGGCTTTCGATATCCAATTGCGCTGCCGCTCGGTGCCGCCACCGCGCTCGGGCGGGCGCCCCGGAGGGGGGGGGGGGGGCGGCGGGGGGGACCGAGGGCGCCGGGGGGCGGGGACAGGGGGACGGCGGCGGGAGAGGGGGACGGCGGGGAGGACCGGGGGCGGGCGGGGGGACGGCGGGGAGGGGGACGGGTGGAGGGCGGGATGGCAGGGGGGGAGGGCGGGGGGGGGCGGGGTGGGGGGGGAACTGCGGGGGGTAGGAGAGGAGGGCGCCGTCGGCCGCGGGGCCCGGCTACCAGAGCCTTCGTTCTTCTCGGGGCCGGCAGCGAAGGGATGTTTTTCGTTCGAGGCGCCTGCGGGGCCCAGGTCTTCAGGAGGGGAAAAAGACACAGGCACAATTCATCGTCGATCCCCAGGAAAATATAGGGAAATATGGGAAGTGGGGGGAAGACAAACACACAGGAAAGAGGGGGAAACTGTGGGGAGTCTTTTTGTGGGTGTGTATTGATTTGCGTGTCCTGGGGCCCCTTCAAGTTCCTGCGTCGCGAGCAGCGGGAGTGACGGAAAGGGCCCCCCCCCGCACCCCCCACGCACACCTTTTTGCTGCAGGGCGCGGCGGCGGACATAGCGCTGTCCTACTCCTGGAACGGCGTGCTGACCGCCGTGCTCATCCTGCTGACGTACGCGATCTGGCGGCACTCGGTGGACAACCGGAACAAGTGGAAGGATGACGAACGGACAACACGCACCTCCTCCTCCTCCTCCTCCTCCTCCTCCTCCTCCTCCTCCTCTGTTCATTCTGAACAGGGCACGGCAAGAACGGGTGCAATGACGAACGAACAACACACACCCATACCCATAGGGGGGTCGTTGGGAGGAGGACTGGCTATGGGTAAGGGTGCGGGTTGTCGGTCCCCTGGGGAACGCTCCCGTTCGAGCGGGGACCCCCCTCCGACAACACGCACCCATAGCCCTCTCCGATCCCCCTATGGGGATGGGTGTGCGTGTTGCTGGTTCGTCAAAGGAGGCGGCGAGAAAGGCCGAGCAGGCGGGCACCGCCGGCGACGCGTGGGCCGCCAGCGAAGGCGGGCGGGAGGGAAGCTTGCAGGGCTTTTTCGGTGCCTCGGCGCCCCGGCCCTCCGCGTTTTTTTTTTTTTTTTTTTTTTTTTTTTTTTTTTTTTTTTTTTTTTTTTTTTTTTTTTTTTTTTTTTTTTTTTTTTTTTTTTTTTTTTTTATGTTGATTTTTTTCAAACCTCTCATACCTCTCTCTCCCGGAGGCTCCTCCGTTCCGCTGCTCGGGCCGAACGAAAGGGGGGGATAGGGAAAGGGGGGGTTGCGAAATCTGCTGCATGCAGCTGGTTTCGGCCCCCTTCCTCGATGCATGGGCGCCTCCCGGCGCCGGGAGGCGCCGGGGAAGTCAGCTACGTGAGCCGATTCTCAAGCCCCCCGATTGCTATCCCCCCCTTTCTCATGAGGGGAAAAAACACACAGACACGATTAATCGTCGACCCCCCGGAAAATATGGGAAAATATGGGAAGTGGCGGGGAAGACGAAAAGCCAGAAACTATGCGAAAATATGGGGAACCCTTTCATTTGTGTGTATTTATTTGTGTGTCCCAGGGCCCCCTCACTTTCGCCCGGCCCGAGCTGCGAGGGCTCTCCTGGCCCACAGCCCAGGCACATCCCCCCGATAGGGATCCCAGGCCGCCGTGAGGGGAAAAAACACACAGACACGATTAATCGTCGACCCCCCGGAAAATATGGGAAAATATGGGAAGTGGCGGGGAAGACGAAAAGCCAGAAACTATGCGAAAATATGGGGAACCCTTTCATTTGTGTGTATTTATTTGTGTGTCCCAGGGCCCCCTCACTTTCGCCCGGCCCGAGCTGCGAGGGCTCTCCTGGCCCACAGCCCAGGCACATCCCCCCGATAGGGATCCCAGGCCGCCGTGATGAAAGGAGGCGGGAGCTCCGAGCCGCCCGCAGGACGGCTCCGGGGTTTCTCCCCCCCTTCAGTTGGGGACTGTCGGGAAATCAGCTCCTGAAGTACACATTGTCCTGAGTAGACCCCCGACGCGCGCAGCCTCTCATGCGAGGCCATGGCCTCACCCGCCTCGCCCTTCAGGGGCCCGGGCGCATGCCCGCAAAGGCGATCCGTTTCCGTTTCCGTTTCCTTCTGCTTCAAGTTGGGGCCACTTGCTTTTCGTCCAGAGTCCGCCTGGAGGGGGACACGCCCGGCCCAACCCTTACCTGCGCCCTCGTTTGGAAGAACAGTGGGTTTCCCCCGTCCCTTCTGCTTCAAGTTGGGGCCACTCTCTTTTCGTCCAGAGTCCGCCTGGAGGGGGACACGCCCGAAATGGGTACGGAAAAAATGGGTACAGTGCCCAACAACAAATGTTGTCCTAAACCAACAGCGGCCGCTGTTGGGCAGGTGGCCTTCTGTCTCGAATGGACGCAGGCCGCGGCGGCGTGGACAGCGAGTCCTGTTCAAAATGAACAGGATCTGCTGTTGGGCATTGTACCCATTCTTTCCGTACCCATTTCGGGTGTCCAAATGGAGGGGGACATTTGCGCCCTCGTCTCGAAGGACATCAGAGCGTGAATTGCCTACCCCGCTTTCGCTTCCAGGCAAAACCAAGTCATACCACGCGCCTCCCCGTCGATCGCCCTGGCCAGTGCGGGCCGTAGTTGGCATCGCCTGGCAGCTCTTGGAAGCGATGGTGGTCAAAAGCGAGGTAGGTTCGTTTGCCCCCCCTAGTGGGTTTCTCCCCCTCCCTTGCTTTAAAAGTTGGGACCACTCTCTTTTCGTCCAGAGTCCGCCTGGAGGGGGGCACGCCCGACCCAACCCTTACCTGCGCCCTCGTCTCGAAGAACAGTGGGTTTCCCCCTCCCTTCGCTTCAAGTGCCACTCTCTTTTCGTCCAGAGTCCGCCTGGAGGGGGGCACGCCCGACCCAACCCTTACCTGCGCCCTCGTCTCGAAGAACAGTGGGTTTCCCCCTCCCTTCGCTTCAAGTGCCACTCTCTTTTCGTCCAGAGTCCGCCTGGAGGGGGGCACGCCCGACCCAACCCTTACCTGCGCCCTCGTCTCGAAGAACAGTGGGTTTCCCCCTCCCTTCGCTTCAAGTGCCACTCTCTTTTCGTCCAGAGTCCGCCTGGAGGGGGGCACGCCCGACCCAACCCTTACCTGCGCCCTCGTCTCGAAGAACAGTGGGTTTCCCCCTCCCTTCGCTTCAAATTGGGGCTAATTTCTTTTCGTCCAGAGTCGGCCTGGAGGGGGGCACGCCCGACCCAACCCTCACCTGCGCCCTCGTCTGGAAGAACAGTGGGTTTCCCCCTCCCTTCGCTTCGAGCTGGGGCCACCTTTTTTTCCGTCCAGAGTCCGCCTGGAGGGGGGCACGCCCGACCCAACCCTTCCTTTCGCCCTCGTCTCGAAGAACACGCGGCACGAATCCGAACTTTGGGAGCTCCACGCGGGTTTCTCGGAGCGGCGCCGGGGCCCCCCGTCGGCGCCGCGGGCGTCGCTGACTGGCCGCGCTCCTCGCGCGCCGGGGAGGGGGGCTCTGAGCGCCTGTCCAAGGAGTCCGCGCGGGGCTCCGATTTGTGCAGTCTTTGCTTCTCCCTCCTCCTCCTCCTCTCCTCCTCCTCCTCCTCCTCCTCCTCCTCCTCCTCCTCCTCCTCCTCCTCCTCCATCCTCACCTTCCCCCTCCTCCCCAGACCTCCTACGACTCGAGTTTTCCCGCTTTGCCGGCCTCCCGAAGCTTTGGGCCCCTTCCCCGGGGCCGTTTTCTGTTGTCGTGAGCTTCTCTTTTGTGGCCGTCTTGGGGCATCGAATTGGCTTCGGACGCCGAAGTTGGCGAAACACCTCTTGGCTCATCCTCCGTATCCTCCCCTCCTACCCCTACCTCGAACGAGCCACCAACGACTATCCACCAACGCCGATCACTGTAGACCAACAGCACCAGTACCACCAAGCGGTGACGAGCACACCCACCCATCGACACGGCATCACCAACTCACGACGACATCGACTACATGTATTACCCCTCCTCTCCCTTTCTTTTGTCTCACATCTGTTTTTATGCGCATGCACGTCTAAGGCACGTCAAAGCATACACGGCAGGATCTGGAGGCTACGGCTTCGCTCGCCTGGTCTCAAGTAAGGCCCAAACACTTGTTCGCACTGGTGGTTCGGGCGTTGCGTGATGGAGACGGGTGAAGAAATTTGAGTTTGTGCGCCGTAGGGGCCCCAATTTGGGCCCGCCCAACAGGGGCACGACAGATGCACGTCTCTTCGCCCCCCCGTTCATCTCCCCCCCATGAACCGCGGGAATTCTTGCATGATGCCCCCCCCCCCCCCCTACGCTCTCGGCTGGCAATTGAAATTGAACTCGTCCCTCCCCTCCTCGCCCTTCCCCTCATTATCCTCATCACCAACAGGGGTCCTCATCTCCCCCACGATCATCACCAGTGGCCGCCGCGGCGGAAGAATTAGTTTCCCAGTATTGTTGGGGTCCCAATCTGTCAATACGCCCGCGCAACAAATTCCCCAGAGAGAGCTTGCCTGTGTAGGGGTCCTAGCGGATTCATATGGTTGGGTGAGGTTTGCCACCGATTTCCGCGGCCCGCCCGGGTGCCCGGGTGCCCGGGTGCCCAGGTGCCCGGGTGCCTGGGTGCTCGGGTACCCAGGTGCCCGGGTGCCCAGGTGCCCCGGTGCCTTACGGCCCTATAGCCCTGTACCCCTGTAGCCCCATGGCCCTGTAGTCCTATAGCCCAATAGCCCCATAGCTCCATAGCCGAAAAGCCCTATAGCCCTATAGCCCAAGAAACCTATAGCCCTGTACCCCTATAGCCATATAGCCTTATAGCCCTATCGACTTATAGCCCTATAGCCCTATAGTCCTATAGCCCTATAGCCCTATAGCCCTACAACCCCATAGCCCTATAACCCTATAGCCCCATAGCCGCACAGCCCTATAACCCCATAGCCCTATAGCCAAATCGCCCTATAGCCCTATAGCTCTATAGCCTTATAGCCCTTACAGCCATTATAGCCCTATAGCCCTATAGCCCTATAGCCCAATAGCCCTATAGCTCCATATATGCCTATAGCCCTATAGCCCTACAGCCCTATATCCCTATGGTCCTTTAGCCGTATAACCTCTATAGCCCTATAGCCCTATAGCCCTATGGCCCTATAGCGCTATAGCCCCATATCCCCAGAGCCTCAGAAGCCCATAGCCCTATAGCCCCACAGCCCCATAGCCCTATGACCCTATAGCCCTAGAGCCCTATAGACTATAGACCTATAGCCCCATAGCCCCATAGCCCTGAAAATATTCGGATTGATTTTTCCTCTCCGGTATCATAACTTTGTTTTTTAGGGGTTATTGAAGACCTTTAGAGGCTAAGCAACGCCCAAGGGGTCGTTCGTTCGTTTGTTCTTTCGTCCCTCCCTTTCCCTCCTGCGGCCCCTGCACCCGCCTAACTTTACAGCGGGTGGCCACCTTGCGCCCTGCGCGTGAGAGAGATCGACTTCACGTAAGAGTGACCCTTCGCTAGAGTGACCTTTGGTGCGGCTCACTGGGGTTCCCTGATCGCCGAACGCGATGCGATAGTAGCGTCTTGCGCGCTTGTGTTTGGTCCCCCCGTGATCCCCCCAAAGCCGCGCACCAAAAGTCACTCTTACCCAGGGTTACTCCTGCGTGTACGGCGGGACCGAGGCATAAGGTCGAGGTTGGTTCGGGGAGGGTGCCCTGATGTTCTTCGTGCTTGTTGGATGCTCTTGTGGTTCCCGGGGAAGGGTACCCTCGCATGTTCTTCAGTCTGGCCGGCGAGGGTCTCATGTTCCTAGGGGATGTTCCTCCGAGGTCTGGTCGTACAGTCGGACTGGGGTACAAGATCGAGGTCGGTTCGAGGACGTTAGGTGCACCCTGGGGAGGGTGCCCTTGGATGTTCTGTCTGTCTTGGCCGGCGGAGGCTCTCATCTTCCTGGAGGATGTCCTTCCCAGGTCCGGCCGCAGCCGACGAGAGAGCGAGAGAGAGCGAGAGAGGGCCCGCCCAACGCCGCTCCGCCGCTCTGGCCCCTTCGAGGCGGGTTTCCAGGCGGCGAGCAAGGGAGGGGCACCCGCGGCCTGCTGCTGCTGCTGCTGCTGTCTCTCCTCCTCCTCCTCCTCCTCCTCCTCCTCCTCCTCCTCCTCCTCCTCCTCCTCTCCTCTCCTCTCCTCCTCCTCCTCCTCCTCCTCCTCCTCCTCCTCCTCCTCCTCCTCCTCCTCCTCCTCCTCCAGGCGGCGAGCAAGGGAAGGGCACCCGCGGCCGGCTGTTGCTGCTGCTGCCTCTCGTCTTGGCCCCTCTGCGGATCGACTGCACGCAGGAGTGGCCCTGCGCCGGAGTGACCTCTCGTCGCCGAGCGCGTTCCACGGACTGCTCG